CCCTCTATGACAAATAATACCGCAGATATGGCTCTATGAAGGTACCGCATCTCACCCTATGACGTCACGAAAGCTCAAGCGACGCACGAGAAAGTGGATTTAATTAAATTTACATAATGTTTTTCCTGTGTTACCTGCAATAATCTAAACAAAAACCACTCACGCGTGCCGGGCACAATCAAATTAACAATGCAGAGCGCCGCTGGACGAAGTTTTCGTGACGTCACGAGAGCGTCGTCCACACTTTAAAGCGGTATATCTCAGCGATGGTTTATCGTAGAATAACGAGGTTTGAACAGTTATTCTTAGATTTTTTTGCACTAAAACTTTAATTTTTGGCGCACACCCCCTTTAAAAACGAATCAAGATATCGAGATGCGGGTTTCACTAGTCAACTTCTCTTGAAAATCGAAACTCGCAAGTGGGAGTCAGATTTTTTCCAACTCGCCCAGAAATGCCCGAAACCCGGCAAAACCATCGAATCCTGTACAGGGTGGTCCAATTTAAACTCTTTTATTAGGAAAAGCTTCATAACTTTCTGATGTATGAAAATGATGGATTTTCGTAAAAACTTTCTTAAAGTTTTTTTTTTAAAGCAAAATCCAGTGGCATTCTCAGTTTTTTTGGTATTTCGGCAGGACTTCGAGATATTGACCAGAGTTCGATATTTTTAAATACAACACCCTATATTCTAATAACTCATTGGATAGCTCCGCTTTTGGTAATTTCAAGAATATAGAGTTCGATAGTTTTATGTTCAACAGTTTTTGAGAATAGAATTAAAATCTATGTTTGTCATAAGAACCTTTGTATTAGAGGACTCTATATCTGTAAGGAAAATGAGAAAGGTGTCTTTCTAACACACTGTTTCTCATGCCAAAAAGAAATATATTTTTTTTCTTTTCGAAAACTATTTGCGATTAACCTATGGAACTTTTTTTACATCATTGAAATCAGCAAAAGCAGAGCTATCCAATGAGTTATAAAAATACAGGGTGTTCTATTTTAAAAAATTGGACTTTGGCCAATATTTCGAAACTCTGGGGAAGTATCAAAAACTGAGTGCTTTTGGAAAGTTTTTACAGAAATCAATTATCTCCATAGATGAGAAAGTTGAAGTGTCCAAATTGGGCCACCCTGTATAGGATGCCATTTTGTTGCATTTCGGGACACCCCTTGTATCTCGGTTTTCTTATAACTAATCGAAAAGGTGACAACGGGTTCTTATAGATCTTTCTACGTAGATTCCCGGTGAAGTAAGCTTTTCTCTAGAAGTGATAGTTTTTGAATTATGAACCAAACATAAGTTTTTTTTTTCATGAGACCCTGTATAATAATAACTCATTGGTTAGCTCTGCTTCTGCTGATTCCAATGATATAAAGTTCAATAGATTTATCTCTATTATGTCTCTTTTGTCATAAGAAACAATTGTTGAACTAGGAGTTTATATCTGTAAGTGAAATGAGGAAGGTCTCTTTGTAACACATTGTTTCCTATGACAAAAACAGATAGGAAAAAAATTTCACGAAAACTGTTGAAGATATATATTTACCTATCGAACTTTGTATCATTGAAATCAGCAAAAGCAGAGCTAGCCAATGAGTTATTAATATACAGGGTGTCTTATGTGAAAAACCGTATATTTGGCTCATAATTTAAAAACTGTCACCTCCCAAACTGACTCCGCCACTGGAATCTACTTAAGATGATCTATAGAAAACCGTTGTCACCTCTTCGACCAGTTGCGAGATACCCGAGATACAAGGGGTGTCCTAAAATGCATCCGAAAAGCAAAAAGGCAGATGACAATTTTGCTGACGGAAGCTTTCGTTAAACAAAAAAGTAGCCAAAGTTCGCGAAAACCGCATCCTCCCAACTCCAATAGCAACCAAAATATCCCTTATGTACAACCAAAATGGGACATCCTGTACATGCTAGGAATGAAAAGAATATCACTTTCATGGAATATGAAAGAAATTGCCAGATTTTATCTACCAAAGTTGAATAACAATATTTTACAGTAATAAACAAATGAAAATTTTTGATCTAATTTTTTTGGTATCACTCTGTATCGCTTCAAGGTCGGTGCAATGAAATAAAATGCTTATTTCGACTTCCAAAATACTATACTAAACTTTCAACAAAATCTGTTGGTGATCGAAATCCATAAGAAGTGTGAGATGTTCTTTAGATTTTGGAAAACTTTGAAAGATCATAACTTTTTTGCTATTAATAGATAGCTTTGACGTTCCAAAGTAGGCCTTGTAATTTTTGACAATTAATTCAAAATGGCGTCGGTTTGTTTTGGGGGCCCTTTTTTTTGGCTCGAGGGCTCCGTTATTTCGGCTAAATTTAGTGTTTTTTTAAGTGTAAAGTGATTCCAAAACACTCTGGCCCCACCAATCAAATGTAAGTATCAATAATTAATCGTTTAAAATGTATAAAATAAAAATTCACAAATTATCGAAACAAATCGCAAGGCCCCTCATTGTCAAACAGGTTGTAAAGGTAGTCTTGGCCACCTAAGGGGGGTTTAGCCTCAAAAAAAAGTTTTCCGGGGGCCCTTGTTTTTAGGTAATTTCAAAATCGGGGATTTTTCTTGTATAAAAGTACAGTTATTGAATAATTATACAGTTTTGTATATTTTCGTATGGTTCTCCATTCGTTCGTAGGTCAATCGAGTGTACGCCTTTTTGATTGGCTCCAAATAATTATCCGCTGATCAATAGAATGACTATAGACTGGGCCCCGGCCCTCCGGGCTCGTGATTAAAATAACTCTAGCCCTGCGGGGTCGTGCAACTCTGGCCCTTCGGGCTCGTATAATCTCGGCCTTCCGGGCTCGAGATCTGAAAAAACATATGGCAACACTGCTTATGGCACAACAAACGTCAAAAAATGGACATTTCAAAGTATAGGCCATGGTTTGTTTTGTGTCTAATGGCCATTTCCACCAAGCAAAAGTTAGGTGTATAGAGAAATATAATAAACCAAGGTAGAGTTACCGATTCATATGTGTCAAGTGGCAACGTATTTCTTGTAGCACATGGTGGCGCTAATATAGCTTGGAACTATCTGACAATTTTGACATCGTATTCCATTCTTATATCTGTCTCCTTTTAACAGATGTGATAACAAAGGAAGAGAGCACATAGGGTTTTTCATTTATTGTACATTACGATTTGTAACCTATAAAATGACATTTTCTTTTTTTAAAGCTGACACAAATAAGTGTCAAGTGAACCTAAAATTAATTAGTATATTACATTTATTAAAAATACATGATTCTGGTAAGATTTACAATGTGAAAATTGTTAAGTTCATGCATAAATAATAATAATGATTAAATACTAACCTATTATTAGTCAAAAGTGAGATGTTTTGATCAAAATAGGTAGATATATATTAGATTACTTCATGGACATTTTTTGATTATTGACTTTTGTTTCCAGGCCAGCGTTTTCCCGCATTTCTTTTCCTGTCGACTGCCGAAAAACGCTGGGCTAGATTTCTACTTTCAAAAATAACAAGACTATACCTAATCTAAAAGTTCAAAAAGCACGCCAAATGTTATTTAAGTTGGTCTTGCAGTGGATAGTGACGCTAGTATCGACATGACGTCATCGCGATGCCAGTGTCGCACCACAGAATCGGTAACTCTCACCTTGGTTTATTATATTTCTCTATGGTTAGGTGTACTTAACGTTAAGTGATCCTTAGATTAGATTTTGCTTTCCTCCACGCTTATTTTGTTTTATTAAGGATCACTTAACTAAACCGTCAAAATTCTCAGCTTAAGGGCCACTTATCGTTAAGTAGAGATGTGCGCATGCGTTAACAACGTTCAGATTGTGTCATAACATAAATTAGGAGCCACAGATTTAAATTTTAAGCCAATTTTCTCCGAAACCCTACTTTTTTCGGCCACATCTAGGTACTCCGTCTGTTTTTTCTATTTTCGATTATGTTTTTCTTTTTGATGTTAGTGATATTAGGTCTGTTTCTGTAGAAATCACAAACCAGTCAGAGTAAATTTCATTGGTTGAAACTAGTTGACTGTTTCTGACTGTTTTCAACCAATGAAATTCGCTCTGACTGGTTTGTGATTTCTGCAGAAACAGACCTATTAACAGCTCTTTTTCCTTATGTGGTTTTGTGTCCGGCTTTTTTTGGATAAACTCTCAATGTTTGTTTCTATTCCCCAACTCCACGCTGCTCTAGGCACCTTCGTAATGTTATAAAAGTTAGCGGGAAGTGTGTCGAATGACAGATAAAATTGACACGACTTGCGTAAAAACGAAAAGTAACCAAATTTTTCACTAATAATGCAATATTGCCAATGCTTTACGACACTTAGCTAAGCGTGCACTCGAAAACTCTGGTGGAACGAAATTGTATTTGAGTGTCCCTTAACTTTTAAGGGCTTCATAGTTAATCAAAGCATAGATATAGTTTGGTGGAAATAGCCATAAATGATCATTCGGGAGTTCCCAAACTCCATACACTAAATTATTCTGAAATTTAAACCCGAAATCTATTAGAAAAGGAACTCAGAAAAATTGAAAAATTGATAAATTTACCCCAAATTGCTTAACGCCATTTTATTTTTAAAACTATAAGTTCAAATGAGCTGAAATTTTCAGGAATTGTAGTCCTCTACTGGAGTAAGAATCGCTGAAAATTTTAGCTTTCTATCTATAATAGAAAAAAAGTTGTGACCTTTCAAAGTTTTCAAAAATCTAAATCATAAGTTAGCTTAGTACTAAAATGACCCCTAAAACTCCATACACTAAATTATTTTGAGATTTGATAATAAGTCGTTCAAGTACAATTCCGATCTAAAGATGAGTGAGTTTCTGAATTACCACACTCTTTGTTATTCATGAGCGAATCAAGAATAGTGTAAATTATTTGAAACAGTTCATTAATAAGTAAAATGTCTCGGTCCTGATCCTGTGAAGCTCTAAAGATTAGATAATATGGTAGGTAAAAAAAATTACCTCTTTCCCATGTCTGTCTTTCCACCGAACCCATTTCTCCAATCCACTTCTCCAATATTCCACCATGTACTGCTCCGCGTATTCTTGCCCTTGTCCGTTGCCATATCGTCCTTGCGTTTTAATTCCTTATAGAATAATTACTTGTTATACTTGCTAAATAAATGTTTCAGGTAGGTACCTACCTGTTAGAACATGTAATTCTTTCAAATCAATTTCCAGATATTCACGGGAGTTTTTAGAAACCATGTGACGTGGACACCAAGCACCTCCTTGTTTGTTGTTCCTCAATCTTGAAAAAGAAAATGCATTTTAAATATTTAAAAGAGAAAATGTGTTTGCGTTTTATTCCATCTGGCATTAAATCAAAACACATTTTTGCCATTTCGTTTACAAAACGCGGGGTGCAATATCCTTCGACAACCATAACCCTTAATTCAGTCTGCTATTTCAATCTGGATTTGTTTTTACTTTCTAGAAAGATTTTCTTTCCGTTGGCATCGTCCCCAGGGCACTCGAAAGCAGGTGCATCGTAAAACGTCAAACTAGAGAGGAAACGAGGAAAAACACACGACCGAATAGCGATTTCCAATCCGAGAATTTTCTTTCAATTTTCGTCCTGAAAGAAGCGCGGGAGCCTAAATTAAGATGGGCGACATTGTTTGCATTTTTGAATAGGAGAGTTTGCATTTTATGTAGAGTGGTTCAGGTAAATAACGTACTTATAATGATTAAGGTGGGCTGATGAATTATTAGAATAAATAATAAAGTTTACCTGGGAGATTTTTAACTAATTTATGTATACTTACCAGAGTACGTTTTTCGTAATAATAATTTAATACTCTTTAAAGTTTTACCGAGCAAAATCCAGATCAAAATAAGACTTTTTTCGTTTAACAAAGGCTTCAAAGTTTTAATGAATTTTTAAGCTTTTTATTATTAGACCATGTTATTAATTACATGGTTGAAAAGTAAATTAAAAAAGTTTTTATTTTATGAATAAATACCTGGCATGATGTGGACCAACGCTTCCAGAATCGTAGCTGGTGCTAGCTGACAACGCAGAATCCCGGATTTTTCCAGACTCCATTCCGAGCGGCAACAAGCATAATTCTCCTAGAAAAATAAAACAGTTTATTGAGTGTTAGCACAAAAGCAAGAAAACCTATTTAAATTACATAGTGCTCGATAAAGAAAGGGGACTGCTGATTGCAGTCGCAAAGACGCTGACAACTGTTCTAGTTTGGAGATAGAGCCCGTTTTAAAATAATGCGGATTTTAGCCTTCCGCACGGATTGAGTTGATGGCACTAGAATTCGGTGTCCGATTTTATTCTAAAAGGATTTTAGTTGAGGGTTTATAACGATTCACTTACATTGTCTGGAATTGTTTTTCAAGGAACAAAATAATTATTTTTCATTTCATTTAAATAGTAAAACTAAAATATTGTTTTCCTACGAGCGTGCGCAAAGTAGTACTTTTCCGCACGCATTTCCGGGCTCAAAGTTACACTTTTCCGCACTCAGTGCGGATACAGGCCTTATCCGCACTGAGTGCTGAAAAGTAATTATAATTGTCAAGCAACAATAAGTGCACCTGTCGACTTTGACACATGATGACAAATTTTTCCTCTGTTTCTATATCAGCCAACATCTATACAAACACCAAAAATAAATTAACTTTGACACATTGTCAGATTTGTTCTCTATTTATATGCAAAAATCAACAAACTTTCTCATCAAATTTAAACGCTTTAAGATGAACAGCTCTGACGAGGATTTTCAGTTTTTTTTTTGTTATGTAATTTTTTGATAAATGCATAGGTTCCCTTCAAGTTAATTAAAAATAATTAAACAAATTATCGTTTTTTTTTTTAATTTTTGTTATTACCTACCTGATATGAAGCTCGTAGGAAAAATGTTGTTCCTAACACGTGCGCAAAGTGTCTTTTCCGCACGCAAACACGTATCCGAACTTCGCTTCGCGTCGTTCGTATAACTGTGTTTGCGTGCGGAAAAGTAACACTTTGCGCACTTGTTAGGAAAATAACTATTTCCGCACTGATATGTCAAAAAAAAAGTTTTACCGCACCCTGCGGGAAAACTCATTTTCCGCACGCATATCAGTGCGGAAAATCGATTTTTCCGCACGGCTGTAGGAAAAACTAAAATCGTACAAAACGGTAAAATGGTGCGCAAAAGAAGAACTTCAGGTTTTCTGAATGAAAAATAATACCTACAGATCCTATTAGTTTTATTTGAAGTAAAAAATAGTACCTATATCTTGGATTAAAATATTTTGCCTTAAAGTATATACAGGGTGGCCAATTGAAAACTAAACAAAGGTGATTTTGGGCTCCTCAAGAGATTTAAGAAAAAACCCTCGAACCCGTCGATTTTTGATTTGAGGGGGAACCATTTTTTTGGCATTTTCACCACCTGGGGGGCAAAGCCCTAGCTGGGATGACAAGGGCCCCCGAAATTTTAAATGGAATGAGTGGTCGAGTGATAGCTTATTTTGAAGCTATTTTTATGTAGATTATAACCCCTGAGTTTCACATCGTTACTATTTACCTAGCCATTACAGGGGCTAATTAAAGCTACAAAAACATGTTGGGATATTTTGTATTTGAAAAAAAGGTTTAAAACCAAAATCAATCAAGTAAATGCTGAAAATGACCCCAGAAAAAAAAATCTAACGGGCTTAAATGTGGAGAACGTGGGGGCCACTCAATAGATCGTCATCTTCGAATCGATTGTCCTGGAAACGTTTGGTCCAAATATTGACAAATCACTGCAGCATAGTGGGGTGGCGCACCATCTTGTTGAAATATTAGACGGTTTTCCATGTATCCGTTATCATTCTCTAGTATCTCCACCAATTCTGGATGAATCGCATCTTCTAACCACTCTGGGTAAATTTCTCCTGTTAAATTTATAGGTAAAAGAGGGACCACGGTTACCCAAAATACTAGCTCAAACGCTCAAGTAATCTACATTTCCATAACGCCCTAGGACGTTATTTCGCACGTATTATACCTGAAAATACAGGGCTTCCATTTCAAAAATTGCCACACACGTTATCTGCATAAAGAGGCATATTTGCAGAAATCGCCAAAACCCGTCAACTGTATTGAAGGGGAAGGGTTTTTACGTAAAACTGGACTTCGCCCCTTCAACCCTCTAAGCCCTAGGGCTACCTTCCCAAAATTTTTGAATGAAACAGGGGGTCGAGTTAGTGTTTCATTCAAAAATGTTGGGGAGGTAGCCCTAGGGCTAAGAGGGTTGGAGGGGCGAAGTCCAGTTTTACGTGAAAAACCTTCCCCCTCAATAAATTTGTTGGCGTGTTTTGGCGATTTCCGCAAATATGCCTCTTTACGCAGATAACGTGGGTGGCAAGTTTTGAAATGAAAGCCCTGTGCTTCCAGGTATAATACGTGCGAAATAACGTTCTAGGGCGTTATGGAGATGTAGATTATTTGAGTATATGGGCTAGCATTTTTGGTAACCGTATAATAGGCCCCTCTTTTACCTATAAATTTAACAGGAGAAATGTACCTCGAGTGGTCAAAAGATGCGATTCATGCAAAATTGGAAGAGATATTAGAGAATGATAACAGATACATGGAAAACCGTCTAATACTCCAACAAGATGGTGCTCCACCCCACTATGCTGCAGTGGTTCGTCAATATTTGGACCAAATGTTTTCAGGACAATCAATTCGAAGGAGAGGAGCTATTGAGTGGCCCCCAGCTTCTCCAGATTTAAGCCCGTTAGATTTTTTTTTCTGGGGTCATTTCCAGCATTTACTTGATTGATTTTGGTTTTAAAGCATTTTTTCAAATACAAAATATCCCAACATGTTTTTGTAGCTTTAATTAGTCCTTGTAATGGCTAGGTAAATAGTAGCGATGTGAAACTTAGGGGTTATAATGTACATAAAAATAGCTTCAAAATAAGGTATCACTCGACCCCTCATTCCATTTAAAATTTTGGGGGCCCTTGTCACCCTAGCTAGGGCTTTGCCCCCCAGGTGGTGGAAATGCCAAAAAAATGGTTCCCCCTTAAATAAAAAATCGACGGGTTCGAGGGTTTTTTCTTAAATCTCTTGAAGAACTCAACATCACCTCTGTTTCGTTTTCAAATGGCCACCCTGTATAAATCGTGCATATAGGTAAAAATCGTGCAGAAAAGTAAAAATCATGCGGAAAAGTAAAAATCGTGCGGAAAAATAAAAAAATATCGTGGGGAAAAGTAAGATCGTGCGGCCAAGTAAAATCGTGCGGAGAAGTACAACTTTCAAAACGAAAAATCGTGTAAAAAAGTTACTTCTCCGCACGCTCGTAGGAAATAGTTATTTTCCTAACAAGTGCGCAAAGTGTTACTTTTCCGCACGCAAACAAAGTTATACGAACGACGCGAAGCGGAGTTCGGATACGTGTTTACGTGCGGAAAAGACACTTTGCGCACGTGTTAGGAACAAAATTTTTCCTACGAGCTTCATATCAGGTAGGTAACAACAAAAATCAAAAAAAAAACGATAATTTGTTTAATTATTTTTAATTAACTTGAAGGGAACCTATGCATTTATCAAAAAATTACATAACAAAAAAAAAATATAACAGAAAATCATCGTCAGAGCTCTTCATCTTAAAGCGTTTAATGGCGATTTCCATTTGTCATCAGTGCCGCACTGAGTGCATCCGCATCTTTTTCTAAAAACATGTAAGGATAAGGATACATTTTTTTGCCCTGTTTCGACAAATGGAAAACGCTATAAATTTGATGAGAAAGTTTGTAGATTCTTGCATATAAATAGAAAACAAATCTGACAATGTGTTGAAGTTAATTAAATTTGGTGTTTGTAGGTATAGATGTTAGCTGGTACAGAAACAGAGGAAAAATTTGTCATCATGTGTCAAAGTCGACAAGTGTACTTATTGTTGCTTGACAATTATTTTTACTTTTCGGCACTCAGTGCGGATAAGGCCTGTATCCGCACTGAGTGCGGAAAAGTGCAACTTTGAGAACCGAAATGCGTGCGGAAAAGTACTACTTTGCGCACGCTCGTAGGAAAAAGTTTTTTCCTACGAGCGTGCGCAAAGTAGTACTTTTCCGCACGCATTTCGGTTCTCAAAGTTGCACTTTTCCGCACTCAGTGCGGATACAGGCCTTATCCGCACTGAGTGCCGAAAAGTAAAAATAATTGTCAAGCAACAATAAGTACACCTGTCGACTTTGACACATGATGACAAATTTTTCCTCTGTTCCTGTTCCAGCTAACATCTATACCTACAAACACCAAATTTAATTAACTTCAACACATTGTCAGATTTGTTTTCTATATATATGCATCTACAAACTTTCTCATCAAATTTATAGCATTTTCCATTTGTCGAAACAGGGCAAAAAAATGTATCCTTATCCTTACATGTTACATGCTTTTAGAAAAAGATGCGGATGCACTCAGTGCGGCACTGATGACAAATGGAAATCGCCATTAAACGCTTTAAGATGAAGAGCTCTGACGATGATTTTCTGTTATATTTTTTTTTGTTATGTAATTTTTTGATAAATGCATAGGTTCCCTTCAAGTTAATTAAAAATAATTAAACAAATTATCGTTTTTTTTTTTAAATTTTTGTTGTTACCTACCTGATATGAAGCTCGTAGGAAAAATTTTGTTCCTAACACGTGCGCAAAGTGTCTTTTCCGCACGCAAACACGTATCCGAACTCCGCTTCGCGTCGTTCGTATAACTGTGTTTGCGTGCGGAAAAGTAACACTTTGCGCACTTGTTAGGAAAATAACTATTTCCTACGAGCGTGCGCAAAGTAGTACTTTTCCGCACGCATTACCGTTCTCAAAGTTACACTTTTCCGCACTCAGTGCGGATACGGGCCTTATCCGCACTGAGTGCCGAAAAGTGAAAATAAATGTCAAGCAACAATAAGTGCACCTGTCGACTTTGACACATGATGACAAATTTTTCCTCTGTTTCTATGTCAGCCAACATCTATACAAACACTGAATATAAATAACTTTGACATATTGTCAGATTTGTGTTCTCCATTTATATGCAAGAATCTACAAACTTCTTTCGCATCAAATTTAAA